TATTTAATATTTTTAAATGAAACTAGAAAATGGAATAAATATTCTCTTTGCCCTGAGCTGTTTAGTGACTTCCTGCTACATGAATAACCAGTGTCCATTTCTTAGTACAGCAGTTAGGGTCCTACAGGATGTTCCTGTGATTTTGTTTGAAATAATTAACTCCTCATTACACCTTTGCTACTGGCTTTTGTTGTCATGAGACCTAGATTATAAGATTCCTCCTTTCCCTCTGGTAATCGGTATCCTGTGCATCCTTGAAGACCAGTTTTCTCCCTCTGAAGTCCTTTTTTTTGGTTGTGAACCTGAGCCTTTAATGGCTGCGCCAGCTCTCCAGCCCTGAAGTCCTTTTTTAAAAATTAAAATTGTATTTATTATTTTTATTTTATGTGTATGTGTGTATTGGCTGCATGTATGTAAGTGCATCTATGTTGTACAATGCTCTTGGAGGACAGAAGAGGCCATTGGATCCCCGGAAACTGGAGTTACAGGCAGTTATTAGCTGCCATGTGTGTGCTGGGATTTGAACCCTGGTCTTCTGCAAGAACAGCCAGTGTTCTTGACCACTGAGCCATCTCTCTAGTCTGCTGAAGTCCTTTCTTAGACATTTTTGTAGTACTGTTGTGCTGGCATCAAACCCTAGGCCTGCCTGGTACTGCACCTGCAGATCCTTCCTTATACTTTACAGCAGGATCTGCCTCCTTTCAGTCCCCACCACACGTACTCATGTCATTCATTTAGCGTGTGTTTATGTACTGACTAGTAAAGCTTTTCTTGTTTTGTCTTATGCTATTATATGTCTGTAAAGTTGTATTTACGTCTTGCCTCCAAAAATGACACATTTTAAAAAGGTTTGCAGGGGAGAATGTTGTCTGCTATTGCCTAGTAATTTACTGCTTATTATAATGTGCTTAGTGAATGTAGCCATGTTGTTGTTTGGACATTTCATTAACAGCTTTGAAACAGGAGAGATAGCAATATTGATCATGTTTGTAATTGACTTTTTCTTATGCAGGGTGAAAAGAAGATAAAGACAACAGTGCTAACAGCTGCACTTTTGCTATCTGGAATTCCTGCAGAAGTGATTAATCGATCAATGGATACCTATAGCAAAATGGGAGAAGTCTTCACAGATCTCTGTGTCTACTTCTTCACTTTTATTTTTTGTCATGAACTGCTTGATTATTGGGGCTCTGAAGTACCGTGAAACCTGAAGAACTCAGAAAGAGACGTTTATAAAGTAGAAATCAATTTCTCTTCTATATTGTGATGTCCCTAATGGAAGCAAATTGGTTTACACCTTCATGTAATTCTTTTACTTTACAGAGGTTATAAAACCAATTTATTAGGTTCCCTGATTTAAAAGGGTTGAATTTGTATTAGGACTGAATAGAGCAACAGTGTCCTCAATGGTTTTTGTTTTGTTTAATTAAAAACCCAAGTCTTAAATGTTTCCCCTAACTTCTGAGATTTGTAATTCCTCTTAGAGGGATTGAGTTAGTGCTTTTAGGGGAGTAGATAGACATGATTCAGCCAGCCTGAAGGACTGCACCTTGTATTTGTGTCATTCTGTCCTGAGAAATGAAACCATCATAAAAATAAAATGAAAGGAATTGTCTTATGTTAAGTCTGCACATCTTAACACAAGGGGTGAAGGAGGTATCCAGCTTTATTTTTCCTTGAACTAATATCTTGATTTTTTTCTCTATCACAGATATTTAAATAAATGCTTAAAGTTCATATATATGGGCCAGTAGTATAGCTCAGTGACAGAGTGCTTGTTGAGCATGTGTGAGGTCCTGCTTTGAATCTGTGGCATCCCAGAGTGGGGATTAATTTTATTTGCTGTATGTGCACTCTTAATTGGAAAATTTTCTTTGTAAGTTTTCAGTTCTCACAAGTATGAGATGTTTTTATGTTTTTGTTCTTTTGGTTGTTTTTTTTTGGAGACAGGGTCTCCCTGTGGCCCAGCTGGCCTGCAACTCACTATGTAGACCAGGCTGGCCTCAAACTCACAGAGATCCTCCTGTTTCTGCCTCCCAAGTGCCAGGATCAAAGGCATGCGCCACGCCCGGCTCCTGTGGTTTTTCTTGGTTTGTTTTTGTTGTTTTTGCTGTGCTTAGTGCTGTCTCATTGAGCTGCATGCCCAACCCCAGAAGTATCTTGTACTTTTTTTTTTAAACAGGGTCTCCCTTGTCCCAACCCTTCTGGAAGTCAGGATGTAGACCAGGGTGGCCTCGATCTTGCAGAGATCTGCCTGCCTCTGCCTCTTGAGGGCTGGGATTAAAGGCTTGAGCCACCATTTCAGTCTCTTTTAAAAGCAAACTAAAAACAAATTTTACAGTAGAATCTAAGTAACTTAGGCAATGCAATAGCATAAATACTTTTTTTTTTTTTGTCTTTTGAGACAGGGCCTCCCTGTAGCCCCAGCTGTCCTGGAACTCACTA